GTTCAGCAGCATTCAAGTTTGACTTAAAATATCCAATAAAATTGGTGCTGAATGACTCGTTTAACTCGGAGAATTTGTGGTTGTTCCGTGCTATTCTGCTACTTCATTATGGTACAGTAATGACCTTGTGGCCAAGAGTTCACCTGGAGATGCTTTTTGTTGACAATGTGGTTGGGCTGAGGTTCTTATTATTTGAAGGCTGCCTGATGATGGCTGCAGCCTTTGTCTTTTGTGTCCTTAGGCTATTTCATCAACCTGTTGACCAAGAGATGTATATTGACTTGCAGTTGCCTGTTACATCTATCAGATTCAGGTTTTCAAGTGTTTATGGCATTAAGAACCCTCTTGTGTTTGCATTTTACAACTTCTCTAGAGTGAAGAATTCAAAATGGATGTATTTGGATTCAAAACTTAAAAGCCATTGCTTACTCAGTAAGCAGCTTCATCTCTCTGAATGCACGTATGATAACATCCAGGCACTTCAAAATCAATCAAGTGAGTATCCAATTACTTCCATCAGAGCCAGCCCCTTAGTCAAGGTACTTTCTCCAATTTTGCTATGCTTTCTGATTAGTAACTCCATATCTTTAATCTCATTTGAAGAATCTGTTTGCTATTTATAAATATTGTACCACATCAAATCTTCCGGTTACTGCAAGTTGTTTTGTGTTGATTTTTTTTTTCTCGTGTTAAATTTTGTGACTTTGCATGAACAGGTCATGCAGAAGAGGACTAGGCCTGGTATTAATATTATGGGAGTTTCCAGAGAGTTGTCTCAGGCTGATACCAGTCAGTCTTCTGATGGTGGCAAGAGGAAGATTCCTCCATTTTCACTTTCTTTTGCTGCTGCACCTACATTTTTTCTTAGTTTGCATCTGAAGTTGCTGATGGAAAAATCAGTAGCTCATTTAAGCTTTTGTGAGGTAGAAGATCAGGAAGACTCTGGTCTGATGACAGATGACTGCTCTAGCATGGATGATTGCTCTAACCGGAATTCAGAGTTTAATGTGAAGAAAAATATGATGACTTTGTCAAAGGATGCTGTTCATGATGGATTGGCTTGTGCCGAGTCAGATTTGTTAATTAGTCCTTCTAATTGCAGTGATCGAATTCTCTCTTACCAGAATATTGATCTTACTGCTGATAGAACTTCTGGATTGGATGGTTCTGAGAGGCCTCCTACTGTTCAGTTACCTGAGTGGCAATCACGTCATTCTGATCACTCTTTTCCTTCAAATTCTTTAACTGACAAGATTAAAGCTGATGATGGTTCCCGTTCTTTTCTGTGTGATCTGAGTGTTCGAATTCCTTCTGCTGATCAATTTGAGAAACCTTGTGATGGTGATTTGGGTGATGCTCAACACTCTTCTGATCTTTCTTGGAATATAAATGGAGGTGTCATTCGCAGCCCCAATCCAACTGCTCCCAGAAGTTCTTGGCATCGGAACAGAAATAATTCCTCATCATTTGGTCTCCAATCACATGGGTGGTCTGTTGCCAAGGGTGATTCTCTTCACAATGGTTTTAGCAGTGGACCTAAGAAACCACGAACTCAAGTATCTTATTCAGTGCCTCTTTCTGGGTATGAGTATAATTCAAGACACAGAAGCCATTATCAGAAACAAAGAGGGTTGCCTCACAAGCGCATTAGAAAGGCTAATGAGAAGAAGTCATTGGATGTTGCTAGGAGTCCTGAAAAGAATTTGGAGTCCTTATCTTGCGATGCAAATGTGTTGATTACCCTTGGTGATAAGGGGTGGAGAGAATCTGGTGCCCGAGTTGTATTAGAATTGTTTGACCATAATGAGTGGAAACTTTCTGTAAAACTTGCAGGTATTACAAGGTATTCATACAAAGCACATCAGTTTCTACAGACTGGATCAACAAATCGTTACACTCATGCTATGATGTGGAAAGGAGGGAAGGATTGGATCTTAGAATTTCCTGATCGGAGTCAGTGGGCTGTTTTCAAGGAGATGCATGAGGAATGCTACAACCAGAACATCCGCGCTGCTTCAGTTAAAAATATACCTATTCCTGGTGTGGTCTTGATTGAAGAAAGTTATGATAATGAATCTGAAACTACTTTTATTCGGAGCTCTAAATATTTCCGACAAGTTGAAACAGATGTAGAGATGGCTCTGAATCCATTGCATGTCTTGTATGATATGGATAGCGAGGATGAGCAGTGGATTTTGACTATTCAAAATTCTGAAAAAGACAATGATTTCTTGGACAGGATCTCTGATGAGATGTTTGAGAAAACAATTGACATGTTTGAGAAGGCTGCATATGCTCAGCAGTGTGATCAGTTTACACCTACTGAAATAGAGGAACTAACAGTTGATGTCGGTCCCTTCTGTGTAACTAAAATCATTTATGAATATTGGCTGCAGAAAAGGCAGAAGAAGGGAATGCCTTTAATACGGCATTTTCAGGTATTGTCTAAACAACCTGTTTAATTCATGATATTATCACTCAATTTTAGGAATATGTCACTCATTCCGGTATTGTTTAATGACATTATAAAATGATATGCTAGCTTTACACATGATTGGGAAGGGGATAGAGAAGCTAGGGGGTAGAGATAATAATATTGTGCAAGTGGTTAATATTTACTTATTTACCTTGCTTACATCCACAATTGACAAGCCTTGGAGGCCTGCCAAATATAATGCCAAGTGTTTTGAGCCATTGCTAAGTCACATGTCATTTGTTGGTCTACTTAAGATGATGGTTGATCTGAATGGTTTTATTGTTTGAATATCTTCAGTGTAAACCTTACATGCTTATTATCTGTTTTTCTGCCTACTGATTGAGATTTATTCAACATTGTGATTTTGCAATTGATTGGTTTAAAATATGTTGTTGTGTAATTTGCCTTCTTTTTCTTTTTTCAAGATTGTCTGTTTTCTTTTAGGCACCTTATATTTAGCCTTACTTATTATGGTCGAAAATTTACCGATAACCTTTTACACTCTGCTGCTCAGCCACCTCTATGGGAAAGATATCAACATGAATTGAGAGAGTGGGAAGTAGCCATGACCAAGAATAATATTCCCATTTCTAATGGGTGCCTGGACAAGGTGTTGACTTTGGAGAAGCCGGCTATGTTTGCTTTCTGTTTGAAACCAAGGGGTTTGGAAGTACTGAACAAAGGATCAAAACATCGATCACAGAAGAAAATTTCAGTCTCAGGGCATTCAAACAGTATTCTGTATGAACAGGATGGATTCCACCCTTATGGTGAGTATTTGATTTATGAGCTGATTTATGACATTTTGAACAACTTATGTCCTCCTCCTTACATCTGATTGTTGTGTACTCAGGTAGAAGATATGGATTAGCATATGGTGATGAAAAGTTTGCATACTCGGGGCATAATTATGATTATGTGGATGATTCCCCATTGCCTCAGACCTCCCCGATATTCTCACCAAGGGATGCTTGCAGCATGGGTTATTATTCTATTAACAATAGCTATGATAGAAATCATATCCCCAAATATAACAGACACAAGTCAAGGAAAATTGGCTCATTTGGGTTTCATAATGATTCACAGATGTCTTCTTATAGTCAGAGAGTTTCATGCTCAGGTAAGAGAAATGGGGATAGTAGGTGGAATGTGGGCTATTATGACATGGCAGGTCACAGGCAGTACCTGTTGGATGGCTCTACAAGACATGGAATTGAACAAATAGATCATCCAGACCTTGATGAGTTAAGAAAACGTGATGCCTCGGGAGCTGCTCAGCATGCAGCTAACATGGCCAAATTGAAGAGAGAGAGAGCTCAGAGATTGCTTTATAGAGCAGATCTTGCAATTCACAAGGCCGTGGTTGCTCTTATGACTGCTGAAGCAATGAAAGCTTCTGAGGATTCAAATGGTGATGGGTAGATAAGACATGAATATCTATCTGACTCTGATAACTTCATGGATCCTTCCATTGTGCAACTGAGCTGCATAGGGGCAAGCAAACGGGCTCAGGAGTGAGTTTGCTACACAAAGCATTTGGTTTGGCTTTGTCAAGGGTTGTGGCCTATTGTCGTTATCCAGATTTTCCATACTGAACTTATAAGTCATGAGAGCTGAAGTCGGTAGGACGTAGTAGATTTTGTTGCTTCAAAGTGCAACTCTTATGCATTGATTGTTTGCCAGCACCTCCTTCAGCTTGAGATCTGCCTAGTTCAGTTTTTTTGTCGCGCTGATCTGCGTCGTATGGATCCTATGGAATTTTGGCTGCCTATATTTGTACAGAAATTTTTCCTCCTCCCTTCTTTTCCCCTTGACCCCAGTTTCAAATGTTAAATATGAAAATAGAAATCGGCGAAATAATACAACACCACCTTGAATGGAATTATAGTCTTATTTATGCATAGATGTGCACATAATTCACAACATAGCTGCTGCATAACTGGTTTTTAGAAAATAGAAACTCAATTTCCTCTTTTTCTCTCGCCACGAGGACCAGCAAAAGAAAACTGTTGTGCAGGATTACTGGTTTATATTCAATCCAAAACCTCTAGAATTAGCCGTAGGGTCCTGTATATTTACAACCTTTCTTGTATGTGGCTAGTTTATATGGTCTTGATGGGTTTTCTGAACCTAAACTCTCACCTTGGGAAATGGTGACAGATAACTGTTGTACAGATACTCAAGAAGTATGCACAAGTGAAATTGATGAATGAAAGGGATTAGAGAGATGAATAGTAATGATGGTTGAGTTAGAGTAATGCAAGCGACACTTTTTGGACACATTTTATAATTTAAATTATTGCTATGTTAAGCAGTTTGTGCATAAGGTAACAATTACGTTTGAGATGTAACCATGGTTTGGGTTAAGTAACCATTAGATCCAGATACATGTTTGTCTATTAAAGAAATATTTCTTCAAAAGTCGGTGCAATGAGAAGTAAGAAATCATTGCTTGTAGACAATTGTCTGTTTGAAGGCATGGCTACAGAGAAACAAACACACCATTAACCTGCACTATTCCATGTCACTTTCTTGATGCTGCATCCATGATGGAAACGTTACATTGTGACCTCAAAAATAATATAATGAAGCGAACGACCAATGAGTTATGTTCCAACTTTGGTCAAGAAAAAGGCAGATCCAAAAGTTATATGAAGAAAGGATAAATAAATAAATAACTTTCTTCTAAAGGGTACAGGTTTAATATATGATACAAATAAGATACGGTATGGACAAAGATATGACATTTTAAAAATTATTGGACATGATTACAATACAATATATAAAATTTAATGTAAAGTTAACATATAATATAAATTTATATCACAATAAGGAATTCATCGTAAGCACGAAATATCGTAAACATAATAAATTGTTACAGTTTATCTAATAATTGTGGTGTTCCAATTCGTATTGATAATTTTTTTTAAAAAAAAAAGTAAAATAAATAACTACATGTAAATATATTTTTTTCTGGCGCCAACTAAATATAATTATTAGAATTTAGAAATATTCAATGGATCGTTTTTGCCAGACATCAAACGGGCACGGAATATTGATCCAGATTAATTAAGAGCCGTGTGTTAGAAATAAGAAAGACCCAAATGTTGCAAATATATATTTAAGAAATGGCATTAATACAGTTTTTTTTTATCTTATTATTATTTATATTTAATGAAATTTATGTATGATGTGCTAAGAGAGGTATTTTTATTTCTTATTTAACGAGTCATCTTTGAATTTTTAATCAATAAAAAAAAAACATTAACGAAAATGTGCCAAACTAACTGTTCCTAACATTCTTCTTTAGGAGTTCAAAGAAGAACCCAATCACGCGTATAATATTAAATGTCAACTAAAAATGACAATTAAATTTATGAGTCTTTCTACATAAAACTTTTCCTTTTGCATTTTACTCATCGATTGCGTAACTTGTGTGTGCAATTGTGCATTAACTCTTGTTTTCCCTTCTTCCTTTAAGACGTTGTGTTTTCTCCTGTTAATATGTTTATCTTTGCTACCTTTTACGAAAAGTGGATGAACAGAGAAGTCTATAGGGTAATCTAGCTGAGTTGGAGATAAACTATCCGAATTATTTAAAACGAGTAAATGGGCATGTTAAGTGGTTAATCTTTCATTCTGACCATATCTCTCAAAGCATATCATAAGGTCATAATCTTTATTCTTATTCTTCACTCCACCAGTTCACCCTGCTAGAGTGCATTATTACATTGAGAGATTTGTTAAAAGTGAAATGGGCTATTATTGGCCATTGAAATCTAATAATTAATATATGGTCGTGTTTGGATGGATATTCTTGAAATTCATAAAATTTAAAAATTTTAAGATTTAAATTATTTTAATTTTAATTTTTATTATTTATTAAATGTTTTATTTAGATATATTAATTTAAATTTTTAGTTTGGATAAGATATTTAATTTACACACTTGAAAGAATTAATTTTAAATATATATATATATATATATATATATATATATACTTATTGATAATATAAGATCATTAATTAAAGGTTTAGATATATTTTAGTCTCTCAAATTTAAGATAAATTTATTTTTAGTCCCTCAAATTTAAAATTTATATATATATATATATGGAGGGTTCAAACGACATCGATGTAACTTTTATTAAGTGTAACACCTCTCAATAGCTTTATATATTAAATGTGAATTTTGTAAATCCAACCGTTAGATTGAAAGTTCATATCACTTTATATGTGTATATCAAATTTTGTTAAAATCAAACAACAACTTGAGGGTAATCAAAGTGTTCATATTTTAGTATATTTTGAAATAAATATATTATGTCAATTTTGTTTTATAAGAATGAAGTATCAAATCATCTTTGGTTAATATAAAATTCTGTATATATGATCTAAGAGATATGAAGTTTCAATCCAACGGTTGGATTTACAAAATTCGCATTTAATATAAAGTTATTAAGCGGTATAACACTTAGTAAAAGTTACATTGGTGTAATTATAACCTCCCTCATATATATATATGTGTATATATATATATATATATATATTCAAATTTTAAAATTATATTTTTGTGAAATAAAAAGTTTTTCAGTTTTAAATATTTAATATATATTTTGAAAAATTAGATAATATTTAGTAATTTTTTAAAAAAATAAATACTCAATAATTATAAAAGACTATTGATTTTTTTTTATAAGAAAGAGAGTGAAGGGATAAATAATTAAATGAAGAGAGAGAGGCGAAAAGGAAAGATAGAAATAGGAGAGAGAGAGAGAGGGAGGGAGAGAGGGGGAGAGAGAGAGAAAGAGAGAGGAAGGATAAAGAGAAAAATATATATACAAGTGAGATAAGAAAAAAAATAAATTTTTTTACTTTTTTGAAAGTTTAAAATTCTACTATTTTGAAAAAATTCTCAAATACTTAAATAAAATTCTTCAAGAGTTTTCTTTTCAAAGGAGACATTTCATCCCAAAAGATTTGAAATTTCTAAAAAAAAAACAATTACTCTCTTAAATTCCCTCACCTAAAAATACCATAAGAAAAATTTGATGGTATTTATTTATAGGTGGTAAGTAAGACACAATCCATCATCTTAATATGGTTTGAACCCTAAACCTCTCTAAGGTTAATTTGGATATATTCAAAATTTTAAAATTAAATTTGATATATTTTTAAAATTTTGAGTTATACTGAATATAATATTCTTAATCTGATTAAATATTTTACGATCTTTTAAAGCACTTAATACTTTTGAACAATTATGTATTAATAATAAATTTTTCCTGATTAATAAATAATATTTTGCATAACAAATATTATATTTATAATATTTATAATGATATTATTTATTTTTAAAATTAAAATATTAAAAATATATTTTATATTTATTTTATTCTATAGTTTAATTAAATATAATGTTTTAAGCATCAAGTTGATTTAGTTTTATCTCATATATTTTAAGTTTGATTGAATGAGAATTTACATAAATGACTTGACTAAAATTTTAAACCAGGTATAAACAAATATAAATTCGTGCTAACGCTCCCTTCTTCTCCTGCAGTATTTATAGAAATTTATTTGTTTTACTATTTTTTTTGCACTCTGAATGATTTTTCACTTAACAAAGTTCTCTCTTTACTTTTCTATCTGTTGGCGTCCGTCTAAACCCATTTAATTCAAAATTTCTGATAAAAATTTACTGATAAAAAAATGATTTAATTATTGACTAAAAAAGTAACAAACTATAAAGTTATTATATTTATATAGCAACTCCTCTTACTATAATAATGATGTTTAATCATCTTTGACATATGGTTAAGAGATAATACAAATTATTATAGGAAAAGAGAATGGAATATATAACACTGTTAGTAATGGTAAGTTTCTTTTGTTGGACGAATCGAATCTTTAAAGTTGGAAATGGCTTCATGCCATCATTTCTTGGATAAAAACTTCTGTAGCCAAGTTAATTATAAGACTTGTCAAACCACAATCATTCAAACATCAAATCTTCATATCTTAATGCCAAAGCTGATCTCGTTAATTAACTCAAAATAGAAAGCGTTTTTTTTTTCCTTGTTTTCTGCCATTGAGGTATACTAATTTCTCCAGAGACATCAATCATTTGTGTATATATGAACAAAGACTTTAGCACTACGTAATACATGCATGTTATCATGTGGTTCATGTACAGGTAAGGAATAGAAGCTAGCAACACACGAGGTTCACTCTACCCTAATCTCTAGAACCCAAAAAAACTTCATTTAGTGGTATCAAATAGAAAAAGGAAAAGAAATTGAAGAAAACTTGCCCCAACCTTCTAACGAATAGATCTAGTATGTGTCAACTAAGTGCATGTTTAAAAGAGATTAATGTTAAAGAATAATCATCTTTTAAGAATATTTCTTCAAAAATTTATTCATTCGGTTACTAACTTAAGGGAGCAAACCAAACAAGACTGAAGACTCAGGTTCCAAATGTTTTTACTAATGAAATGATAAAAGGTAGTTTTGGTAGTACCATTTTAATTACAAACAGGGTTAAAAATAAACAACAAAAATGAAACATGATGTTATCGGAATCGAATTAATCTAGTATGGGTTTACGATAACGTTTACATCTTAATTAACTCAATCAACTGAATTAGATCTATGAAAAACTTATATACAATAAAATATGAAGAAAAAAAATCTAAAAATAAATAATATTCTATAGAAATTGCGAAACCATTCTTGTAAGACATATAAACACTCGGGTACTTTATATAGAACAGAAAATGACAAAAAAATAATAATAATATTCTATGGAATAAAAAATAAAGTGTGTATTAAATATATAGAATCTAAGCATAAAAATAATATTAATAATTTTCAATAAAAAAAATTGTCATATAATAACACATATAGTATTTATCATTAAGAATTATTTTTACTTACATCATAAATATAATATATGTTAATATATTATTAAAAGGTGTTGTATAAACTATAATAACTCATAATATATATTATTGAATTTTATTTAAAATTAATATTAAAATTATATATAGATATATATGTTAAATATATAAATTTATAACTGTATACGTAATATTTAAGTATGTAATATTTATTGTAATGATTTATCATTAAAAATAAAATAATTATAAATAGTATTTACATATATAGAAATAAACACAAGCCGCGGCGATTGAAAGCGCTAATTAATTTCCTGTATATAATTGTTTCTTCAGTAAAAATTTCTGTAGCCAGTGCAATGTGGACAAGTGATTGTCAAACCATAATCATTTTGTTGTTAGTTGCTTTCATTAAAACAATAATTTACTTATAGACATTGTAAATGTGACAACTAAGTCAATACAGTCAAAATATTCTCACCCGAGTACCTCTTTATATATACGTGTGTTATATGTTTTTTCATATTATTATATATTTAAAGTCAAATTGTCTTGAAATTATTATAATTATGTGCCATGACTAATGAAATAGTGACCATATAAGTCACGATTTACTCTAAAGTCGTGTTTGGTTACTAATATTTTACCAAAAATATATTTGAAAAATCTGCTATATATGAAATCATGGAGAAAACTCAACTTTTTTATGATTTATTATTTTGTAAAATTACTAAGATTTTAAAAAAGAAAGAGAACAATTTGCATCAGGCGAAAAATGCTCAGCCAAAAAGCATTACAGAAAGGGATTGATCTGTAACAAAAAGTTTATGGTGTAACTCATTCCCGACATGCAGAATGAGATATACAGGTAGAAGGACAGAAAAGACTGAAAGAGAATATAACAAAATAAGCGAGTTTACAAAAGATGAGAACATCGACAAATAAAAATAAAAAGTGAGTGTAAACATGACAAAAGAGAACTAAATGTGAAAAATAATTGACAGTGATGTATATACTTTCACGTTACCATATGCAGCAGGCAGCAAAAATTGAAGTTCATGCTAAATATATATAAATTCATATATACATGCTTACATAACTTTTAGAAATACAAGACAAGGGTGAAGCTCCATTTCACAATCAAATCCCAGAAGAGAATTGACAACAAAAAGAAACTTGCATGCGAGACAATTATTGCAAGTCATTACACTATAGAAGACACTAAAAAGCCATTACAATAAGCAAGCAATAACATTGGATATGCCATGGTGGGTATACATATATATATTCTCTTAATTAATTCTTCCTTCATTCAAACTTGTTCATCAGGGCCTTCATGCTTCCAAATTGCATTAATCGGTTTGCCATTGATCCAATCCCTGAGCCTAAGAAGCACGAAAATAATCATTCCACACAAAAAGCCAAGAGCAGCACTGGACCCCACCAACGAAACCGCAGTACAAACAAGCATCACAAAGGAATCTTCCTTAGTATTCATGTCCCTAGAAGCCATGGCTAGTTCAATCCCAGCAAACAACAGCAACACTCCTAATATCCCCACCGGAAACTGGTTGAAAAAGTGAGCCAAAGAACTTCCCAACACAAACCCTAAAACCAATTTAGCAGCACCAAGAAGTGCCACACACCCCCCACTCCTCCCTCCAAATTTGTATTGCCCTGCAAGCCCACCAGCCCCATGGCAACATGGCATGGCCCCAAACCACCCTCCCACAAGGTTCATCAACCCCACAGTCACTGAGAGTGATGTCACTGAAAAATCCTTCCCCGGGAACAAATCTGATGAGAGCTTGCAAACGGCTATCACTGAGTTCAAAAGGGACAATGGAAGCTGAGGAATTGTGCCCTTTATGAAACCTTGCTTCCATGCATGTCTAGACATTTTCACCACCTCTATAGAAGAGGGTCCAAATTTAATCTCATGAACCACTCTAGGCCTTCTTACAAAAGCCAAAACCACACCCAACACAAACACCAAGAAAGCAGAAGGAAGAGCAAAAATAACTCTTTTCGCTCTTCTCACTCTACTTTGGACTTGGGTTTGATGGATTGATTCTTGTTCGTCATCATGGTGCTGGTCATCGCCAGCACCATTTATTATAACAATAAAGCAAACACATACTATGGCAAGAACCAATCCATCAAACCCAAGCCAGTGCCGTTGGTCCAATGACTTGGACTTAGGCAAATCCTGCACTTTCCTCACGTACTTAACCGCGGTTAACGCGAAGGACAAGCCTTGTGCAAGCTGAATCCCCCTCACAACGCATTGGGGAATGAGCTTGTAAACGAGCTGCATGAGGCCCGTGACGCCGAGCACGAGCAAGGTTGCTCCGGTGAGGATGCCGGAGGCCATGATCTCCGGCACGGAGAAGGAGGGGTCGGCGAGGGCGACGGCGGCGATGGACTTCATGGGCTGGACGGGCATGGGGACGCCGTAGATGGCACCGGTGATGATGTTGTACATGCCGGTGAAGATCAATGTGGTGCCGAGGTTTAGGTTCTTGGCTAGGGTTAGGGACAAAACTATGGGTATGTATGTGCCTAGGTCACCCATGGCGCCGTTGAGTTCGGCCCATTTTGAACGTAACACCAAGTTGCTTTTCACTTTCTGCACGGTGGAGGAATTTGGCTCTGAAGTGGGAGGGGGTGGTGCCATGGAATCAATTGGAATGGATGAAGTGGGAGAGTATCTTAGTTAGTTAACGTAAACAATATATGATGGTGACAATGAGGAAATTGAATTCTGCATTTATAGGGTAGTAAACTCACTGTAGGGAGCATCTTTACATTTTAAATGAATATCTTTGTGCACTGTGATTCAATGGTGCAGCAATAAGGAGAGGATGACATAGGGTTTAAGTGGATCTGAAATTGGGGAAAAAGTAATTATTGCATGGTAGGGTATAATTAGGGTTTATGGTTGAGAGCATAAACATGTGATGGAGACCATAAATCTTAAGTGTTCTATTCTGACTAATATACGGGAATCATGTAACTATTGTATGGTAGAGTGGTATATATATAATTAGGGTTTAAAGCATAGTGTTACTAATTCTAAATGTGACATGGGAATGTTGTTGAAAGGAAAATAGATTCTACAGAGTGCGGTGTTAAAGTTGGAGAGAGAGTAGCTGCTGGAGAATTCCGATTCCTTTGAGAGAGGAATGAAATCCCTTGGAGAATGCTTATTCAACTGGCGTGCGGTGTGGCAGCACTGTAACGTGTTTACTGTTGATTGTAATAGAATATGAATCGACTCTATTTATAAGATTTTGTTGTGTGGATGGGTGTTTTTGGGTGTTTAGAATTTAACAAAATAGATCTGATGCATTTTAAAGATGAGTTGAAGTTTAGTCTCAACTTAATTCAATGTCCTGTATTTAATCATTTTTAAATAATTATAATTTCTTAGTTTAATAATAAATATATTTTTAACATTATATTATATTAATTAATATTATTTTTCTTGAAATATAATCATATATATAATTTTATAATTTATTACATGTAATATTAATTTTTTTCATAGACATGATTTATGTAGTGTTATAAAATTAATAACTAAAAGTTAATTTATACTTATAAAACATAATTTTCGCTGACTGAATATTAATTTCACATCAATGCTAATGAATTTGAGAATATCATATAACTCCTGTATTTTAAGATAAACTTTACAATCATTGAATTAAAAAATTGGTTCATGTAGTGTTAAATTTAATATATTATACTAAAAAACTATATTGACTTAATTTTACCTCATATTTATTGGGTCTTAATTAGTGATCTTATCAAACTTTTGTATAGGATAAATATAAATTAATAAAAAATTTACTATTTCCCTCTTAACCGACACAGTGGACTTCTTTCAAGTGATATTGTATTTGAGTTTAATTATATAATTATGTAAAATTTTAATTTTAAAAGAAAAAATTATTATTTTAATATTTTATTTAACTCAAACATATTTATCTTACAAACATACATGTGATTTAAAAAAAATTGAGAACCAATAATTAATCTATATTTATAAGAGATCACTTTCACTAATTAAATATTATTTTAATAT